CTGCTCTGTGCTACAGCTGTTTTGTGAAATATCTACTGTGTGGTGTTAGAGTAACTCGGTTAAATCAGGAGTGGCAGATACATATAACTCCCCTGGCCACAGCAGACACCACCAATCGATGGTGGTACACCTAATCTGCTTAACTAGATCTCAGTCCTGAGCTCCAGGGATCAGAAAAGACACAGGAACTGAAATCTATCTGCAGTCTCTGATGCTCTGGGGATTGGAAGGGCTGAGCTGAGAGAGCCTACAGTGTAATAACCAGAGACTAGAGTAGGCTTGGTAGGCAAGTCTGACTGCAGGGATTTTTACCAGGCTGTTTGTATGGGTGGGAGAGAAGTGAACCGAAGGAGAAACTGGGAGAGTTCTGGAGAATGGAGAAGGGACAAAGGGAGAGCAGACCAGCCTATGACTTAGATGGAATCCAAATCCAAGCCGCAAAACAGACAATGAAAGACAAGCAAGGGACTTATGCTTATAATCCCAGCTACTCAGGAGGCTGAGATCTGAGGATCATGGTTCTAAGCCAAGTAAGGCCAAGAGATTCTTATCTCCAACTAGCCACTAAAAAGTCCAAAGTGGAATGACGGCTCAAATAGCAGAGTGCTAACCTTGGACAAAAATGCTCTGAGACAAGGCCGAGGCCCTGAGGTCAAACCACAGGAGTGACAACAACTACTACAACAAAAACCTCTCACAGATAATGAATTTGAGGCCCAGGAGGGGCAGGTACCTTCCCAAAGTGATATAGAAGAGCTGAAACAAGAACTCAGCACCCTCCTCCCAGCAGAAAGCAGGGTGTTTTCTTGGCCACCAGAGTGACCCCCCCAAGTGTGCACACGCGTATGTGGGTGTGCCACACTCACGAGAATGCGTCTGCAAGCACAGGTGCAGCAGATGCAGATGGCAGGAGCAGGGCGTAGCTCAACAGCACTCAGATTTACAAAGACTCCTTCGTGAAGTCCCAGCCTCCCAGTGATTCAGCGGGAGTAGGAAAGACAAAGAAGGATGCGGTAGAGACAGAAGGCAAAGATGGGAGGGGGAGGAGAGGAAAGAAGATGGGGGAGAAGGGCAGGGCAGGAGGAAGTCTCCTCCCTGTTCTTTCATCTTTCTCAGAGGCAAAGAGAGGAGAGGCATGGGGCTGGCCTTGGCCCTCATTCGTGTCCCTTCCCAGGTGTCCTTTGGCTGGGGAGAGTCATGTACCATGTACCTGCAGCCTCGCAGCTCCCTCCCCACATCCCAGCTGGAGCAGGCCGGCCTGCCAGTCACCTGCCAGAGCTATTTCTGGAATGTGGAATCTGGGTCAGAGAGGAGGAGGGAGGAGAGCAGCGGCAGCCTTGGAGCTGGGAAGCTGCCCGCTCTGCCTGGTGAGGGGGCTCCACATGCTCCCACAGCCACCCAAGATCTGGCCAGCCCCTCCAAGCTCCCAGAGCCTCAGCACCCACCCCTTGGTGGTGGTGGCATCATCTCCCACCTGCCTTATGCATATGTACCCAGGGAGAGGGAGCAACAGCTCCCAAGGGCTTGCTCCTTAGACAGATAGTGAGATAGGGGTCGTCTGAGCCGGCCCAATTCCCCCAGGGAGACAGTGGCTGAGTGAGGTGCACCTGTGTGTGTGTCTGGGTCCATGTGGGGGGCAGGCAACCATGGCAGGCACACTAAGGATGCCGAATTATCAGGAGGGATGCTGTTCACACTATAGACACAGTTGGATTATGACAAATTTCTGGCAGAAGTAAAGCACCTTGTGGAAAAGGTACATGCTGACACCTTTGCAGAAGATGGCAGTGAAGGCTGATAAAGGAGCTTATTTGCTTTCTCCTTCCTTCCTTCCTTCTTTCTTTTCTTTTCCTCCCTCCTTTCTCTTTTCTGTATTGGAGACTGAATTCAGGGACTTGTGATTGCTAGGCTTTCATTCAAACTACACATTTAGCCCTTGTTTTTTTTTTTTTTTTGGGTCCGGTCGTGGGGCCTGAACTCTGGGCCTGGGAACTGTCCCTCAGCTCTTCAGCTCAAGGATAGCGCTCTACCACTTGAGCCACAGTGCCACTTCCGGCTTTTTTCTTTTTGCGTATGTGGTGCTGAGGAATCGAACCCAGGACCTCAGGCATGCAAGGCAAGCGCTCTACCCCTGAGCCACCTTCCCAGCCCCTTGCAGCTTGTTTTCAAGATAGGGTCTCTTGAACCTTTCTGCTCGGGCTGGCCTTGAGCTAAGATCCTGCTCTCATCCCGGGGCAAATAAATCCTTTGGTGGTCCCAGTCTACAAGGCACATATAGAGGGGCCGTGAGAATTGATGGATATATGTGCAGGTGTATGGTGACATTTGGTACATGTGTGAACATATGAGAATATTAGTGTATATGTGTTCCCACATAGATATACACATGCACACATCTGGGTAGGTGATGTGCACACACGCTCTCCTATGTCAGTTTGGGCTAAATCCTCACGAAGAATAACGAGTCCATATCCCCTACAAAGTTTAATGTCAAACTCTGGTTTAACTATATGGGATTATGTGCCATAATGGATTGAACTGCTGGCTTCAACTCTCTGCTGTGTGTTGTATTCATACCCTTTGCTACACGACCAGTTTCTCCCATAAAAGGTGGGATGTGTTTCACCTTGGCTTTGAACCCCTATAACTTGTTTTGACCAACTGGATGTTAGTAGGTATGAAATGAAGAGTGATTTGAAATGTGCTTGTCCAACAAGGCTGCCCTCTCACACTTCTGCCATCACCATGGAAAAAGCATGCCCCGACTAGCCACTGTATCCAGAACACCTTTTGGTGTCAGCCAAGCAGAACTAGCTGACATGCAATCTCATGAGTGAGAACAAAGGCATATTACTGTGTGCTACTGTGCTTGTTACACAGCATTATTGTAATAACAGCTGCCTGATACATATTGGTAGCAAATGTGGAGTGTGTTAGCAATAAAAACTGAAAATATGTAGCACTAGCTTTAAAGACCCAGTGGTAACTAGACAGAAGACTGTTACAGAAGGCTTGAGAAAAGAGGTCCTGGATTATGTGTGGGTCAGGACCCTGGGTAGAATTGTCTTTTATAGTAACTTGAGGAGTGTGGATGGGTATAGGCAAGACAGTTTCCAGGAAAAATGTAGAAAGCAAGAGTGGGCTCCTTTGGGCTGTGAGAAAGAGCAGAACTCATAAAAAAAGCAATAGCCAATCTGTAGGGAGTATTTAGAGGAAATAGAGAGAGCCCAGAACTTGCTGAATTGGAAAATAAGTCTGTCAACTCCCATTTCACCAGGCAGAAGAGCACTCTTAAGATTCAGCCTGGGAACAGAGATCAAGCCAAGGTCAAAGCTGGTTACGGTACAGCTTGAGGACCAGACCAAAGCCAGGATGTAGTTGTAACACCTTTTATTAACACTCTGAAAGTGTGATCTGGTAGATGTGCTCTGCTGGTCAGAAAAGCCGATAAGAAACGTAAGGGCATCACGAAGTCAGGAGAGAGAATGGCCTGACTCAAAAATACTTGTGGGTGTGGCTCAGGCCCAAGGTTGTTCCTTGGATTCAAATACATAGAAAACCTAGTAAGGGTCTGCAGCAGGTACAGGGTAACATGACACACCTCAGATGAGAGTGAGATCACCTAGCTCCTACACTTTCTTCCAGGAGGAAGCTGCCTAAGGAAAGTGGCTGCTGCCTGAAGGCCATATTCTCCAGTGTAGGAGATGCTCCGGGAACATTCCCTGTCTAAGAGCATATGCCCAGAATGACTTCAGAATTCCCATGGATCAGTAAGTCCCTGGATCTCTGTTCTTCTGCTTCCCCCTCCCTTTTTTTCCCCTGGTGGTGTTGGGGATTGAACCCAGGACCTTGCCCATGCTAGGTAAGTGCTTTGTGGCTGAGCTATAACCATAGCTCCCATGTTTCCCTTTAGGAGTAGCCATGTGAGTGGCAGTTAGCCTATCTCTATTTTATCAAAGTATGCTGGGGGTGGGGAGGTTAGGAAACAGTACAGGTAACTTGGGTTTCTAGATCATGGGCTGTTATTGATCAAGAGTGGCACATGGTGACACTCAGGACACAGGTCCTGAGTTCTCAATGCCATGATGAGATGACACTCTTGGGGTACTGGCAGGGGAGGAGGGGGAGGCATTCCTACATTGGAGAGCTGTGAACAAATGTGGGATGAGGCAGAAGACCAGAGAAGAGTTGGGAAGGGACGGTACAGAGACCAGCTTAGTTAACCAGTCAGGTGGTCAGTTCCCTGTGTGTGTAGGGATTAGGGGTCAGTTCCTGTGAACACCAGTGCAACACTTGAAGCAGCTGTCTCTTCCTCCAGCCCTCTAACTTAGTCAAGTCTCACAAGCAGTAAGATCCACCACCACCTGAGTTGCTGCCCTGCCTGCCCGTAGTAGGAGGGTAGGATTCCTGATTTGTCTTTAGCTACCCAAGACCACTCTGGGGTCTGTTTTATAGATGGGGAAACCAAGGCTCAGAAAAGAGAAAAAGAGGAGCTCAAAGCCCTCTACTCAGCCTCTTTTCCCCTTGGCCTCGGGTCTTTTGTCTTTATCACAGCACTCCTTCCATCTTCCTCTGGTCACAAGAGTTATCTCTAGGGGAGCTGGAAGAACTTTGGGAAGGATGGGCTTCCCCGATTGTGAAAGGGAAAACTTGTCAATGCTGTAGACTGCCCACCCCTCCCCTCTCCGCAGGTTTGCCAGTTGAAGTAATCCTAACAGGGAAGTCCAGCTCAGGAAGCCCCACCCTGCCTACCAGCAGGAGGCTGCTCTAAACCAGAAGCAGCCAGGGGTCCCCCAGGCTCCAGCCTTCCCCAAAGTCTGCCCAGTGGACAGACTATCAGCCCATGCGGATTCTAGTCCAATCCCAAAACCTCTGGCTTTCACTTCTCTTTCAACATCGTGCGGAACGCTCCTGGGCTTCCCCCCAATGTCAGTCTATAGGACAAGTGCTAACTAAGCGAAACAAGCCATCAGGCCTCCCCTTGAGGAGGTACTACTCACTGGGAAGCGTGCGACTGTTGCTGAGGCTGCCGGTGCTGGGCGGTGGGGAGAGGGACTGCAGGGAGACGCTGTCCTCCTCCTGTGAGCAGCCTGCCTGGATGGCACGCAGGTAGCTGTGGCTGCGGGAGCGGAAGTAGCTGGGCAGGGGCAGGTCCAGCACCTCTGCTGCCGTCGACTCTGCTTCGCTGCAGGCTGACTCACAGGCAGCCTCGTACTGGTCACTCAGATCTGCCTCCCGTACCTGCCCAGGCAAAGGCAGGCATCAGGGGTCAGCGTTGCCCATCCTCGGGTGGGGGTACGTGTGGGAGGGGTGCCTGGTGGACATCCCCTCAGCCTGCCCCTCCTCCTCTCATTTCATCCAGGGCACAGATGAGCAGATGGGAGCCCCAAAGAAAGGAACAGTCCTATCACCTCTTGGGGGCCTCAATGTTTCTCATTTCTACAATGAGAAGAAAGTTTTAATATATCCCAGGATGTTAACTTGATTGCTGTTTTGTGTGTCCACCCTGCTGGACTGAGAGGGTCACATCTGAATTTTAAAATCAGTTAGTCATGTCTGCCCTAAATGTTAGAACGGGGGTTGCAGCAGTTGTGTTGTACACCTGCTATCTTATGGTTCAATCTTGTATTTTTCAAGCAAAAATTCTCTCAAGGCCAGTGAGAAGACACTTGCCCGAGTTACCAGTGAGGAATACTCCAAAAATATGTTTTCAAGGAATATGAACGTAGCCTTGGCACACAGAATGAATACTGGGAGGGAGCAGGGTTCCGGAATAGAAGCAGGGGCCAGACATGAAGCTGATGCAGCAGCCTGATAAGAGGGAAGCAGCAGCAAGGATTGATTAGTGATGTCTGCCTGGGACAGCATGGAGAATAGTGGTATGGTATATATATACATATATATGCATGATATATATGTATGTATGTATAAAACATATGTATATATGCACATACATGCACATATACATACATACATGTGTGTGTGTGTGTGTGTGTGTGTGTGTGTGTGTGTGTGTGATTTACTATATTCTGTTTGCTTCAGTCTCACCTACTGGGTTCCCTCCAGAAATGACTAAGGATTGTGCAAATCTAAAGCTGCAAGTGTGAGCACAGAGAGGTCTTATCACATACCATATATTCTCTGGGGGTTCATGAAGGGTTTTCTGGCCCATGTCTCAGGCTGAGAGCTATGGACCACACAGTAAAATCTAAGGCGTTGTCTGGTTAAAGATGGATAGTAGGTGGAGGCCTGAGGCGAGGCCAGAGCTAGGGGAGGAAAAGGCACTAGGTGGCTGAGTACCATGTGGAGGAAAAGTTGGATCTGGGTCTGGGACCAGCGCTGGGCAGCTATGTGACCTGGCTCATCACTTGTGCTCTCTGGGCCAGTCTCCTCATCTGGATAAAGTAGAATGTTCTGGATATTTGTCTATGTATACATCAGATAAAACAACTGGATAGATCTGTACCTAATACAGTGTTGGGAAAGGTTGAAATGTGTGCTGTCCAACATGGTAGCTGCTAGCTATGCATGGGTATTTCATTAGTTTTTTTTTTTTCTCTTTTTTTGCAGTACTAGGGTTTGAACTTAGTGTCTTATGCTTGCTCAGCTTACTTAAAAGGCTGGCACTCAACCACTTGAGCAACATCTCCAGCCTGGCTTGTCACTGGTTATTTTAGTGACAAAATCTTGCAGACTTTTCTGCCAAGGCTGCCTTTGAACTATACTTCTGCATCTCTCAGCCACCGAGTAACTAGGGTTACAGGTATGAGCCAGTGGTACTCATCTAGATTTAAAGTAATTAGTTTAATAAAGTTTGACAGTCAAATTTTACCTGCTGAAAAGTGGCATGTGACTAGTGACTAGTGGCTACCATGGACAAGTATAGATAGTAGAACAATTTCTATCACAGTAGAATTCTACTGCACAGGGTCAACATGTTAAAATGCTAGCCACATGACCTACCCAGAATTCACTTAGAGGGGCATTAAAAGGGATTGTTGTTTATCCTCCCCCACTGCAATTGGGTCTTGCTTTGGAACTGCACCATAGCACTGCAGTTCTAGAACCAGACTGGCAAGGTTTCAACCCCTCATCAGTTCCTTGCAGTTTAAACATAGGCAAGTCACTTATTTACTCTGTGCCTCAGTTTCTCATCTGTACAATAGGGCTGATCACAGTCTCAATTCCACAGTGCTCTCAAGACTAATGAGATAACCTATATTACATGTTTAGAATAAAATCCAAGAGTGAACCCTGGGCACCTGCCTCTGGCGATACAGGCCAGCAGGTGGAGGGAACAGGATGAGTTCACAATGATTGATTAAGATGCAAGCTAGGTGCTGATGGGCCATGCCTGTAATCCTAGTTACTTAGGAGGCTGAAGACTGGCTGGTTGACCAGTTTGAGGCCAACCAGGGCAGAGAAGTCCATAAAACCATCCTCATAGGGAGGAGCTGGATGTAGTGGTACATACCTGTGATCTCAGCAACTATGGGAAGCCTACACATAGGTGGATCAGGGCTGAGATGCCTGCACAGGAGGGAAGCAAGACCCCATCCTAAAAAGAACCAGTGAAGCTGGGCGCAGGTGGCTTATGCTTATAATCCTAGCTCCTCGGGCTGGGAAGGTGGCCTAGTGGTAGAGTGCTTACTTGGCATGCAAGAAGTCTGGGTTTGATTCCTCAGTACCACCCACATAAACAGAAAAAGCTGGAAATGGCACTGTGGCTCAAGTGGTAGAGTGCTAGCCTTGAACAAAAGAAGCTCAGTGCCCAAGCCCTGAGGTCAAGCTCCAGGACTGGCAAAAAAAAAGGGTAATAATCCTAGCTCTTCAGGAAGCTGATATTTGAGGATTACTATTCAAAGCCAGCCTGGGCAGGAAATGCTGTGAGACTCTCCAATAAACTACTCAGAAAAAGCTGGCACTGTGGCTCTCAAGTGGTAGGGTGCTAGCCTTGAGCAAAACAAAGCTCAGGGACAGTGCCTAGGCCTGGAGTTCAAGCCCTAGGACTGACAAAAACAAACACACAACAACAACAACAAAAATCACCCTAAAATAAAAAACTGGGCTGGAGGTGTGGCTCAAAAGTATTGTGCCTGCCCAGTAAGTGCCAGGTCCTGAGTTCAAACTTCAGTACTCACAAAAGAAGAAAAAGATGCTCCCGAGCTGGGGCGAGAGGGGTGGGTAGGGCCGTGAGTCAGTGCTGATGCAGGTTACACGGAAGACTTGTGAGATTCATGTCAGCCTCATCACACACCTAACTGGGGTTAGGGGAGGAAGAGGTCACCGGCCCGCTGAGGGCTCCTAAAGGCCTCTAGAATAATGTGTTCAAGGGAACACCTAGCTTCTAGAACCTGTGCGAGGACAGGGAAGGTATCCTCCACTGCGGTGGTACAGCTCTACCTTTGCCCTGTGGGAAGTGTGGCCTTGGACAGGCCCCTTGCCTGTTCCTGGCTACAATGAGAGCCTGAGCTCAGCACCTTATCTGCCCCACTCTCTGGCTTGGGAGCATAGGGTAGGGGTGGGCATTTCCAGGGGGAGGAGATGTGTTCATGGATGGGAGGGAGCCCTGTAGACATGACCTCTGCCAACTTTATAAAGTTTCTAAATCCTCTTCAATTTTCTCATGTTCTTAAAGGTTCTACAAGAAAGAGGAAAAGTCAGAGGATTTGAGGCTGAGGGGGCTAGGACCTGGCAGCTCCTACCACAGGCCCAGCCCCCTCCACCCTGTCCTGGCCAAAGGAAATTTCCCAGGCTAGCCCAGGATTGGGGGAAGCAAGGAGGGAGCCAGAAGACCCAATGTCCTCGGGGCCAATCTTCCTTCCTTCCCTCCTTCCCTCTTTCTCTTCCTTCCTCTCCATCTTTGTCTCTGTCTGTGTTGCCCAGGTTTGCATCAAAACCATGATCCTCCTGCTTTTGTCTCCCAAGTACTGAGATGTAAAGCATGCTCTACCACATGACTTCTTGCTTCATTCATATAACCTAGCTCATTGTCCTCAGGCCCCCCCCCCCTTTTTTTTGACAGTCCTGCATCCTGAACTCAAGGCCTGGGCATTGTCCCTGAGTTTTTGTTCCAGGCTAGTGCTCTACCACTTGAGCTACACCACTACTTCTGACTTTTTTTGAGTAGTTTACTGGAGATAAGAGTCTCACTGGCTAGGGGCTGGTGGCTCACGCCCGTAATCTGAGCAGCTCAGGAGGCTGAGATCTGAAGATCGAAGTTCAAAACCAGTCTGGGTGGAAAAAGTCCCTGTGAGACTCTTACATCAATTAACCACTCAAAAATTCTTTAAGTGGTGCTGTGGCTCAAGTGGTAGAGCATTAGCCTTGGGCATGAAGAGGCTCAAGGATAGCACCCAGCCTCTGAGTTCAAGGCCCACAAGTGACAAAAGAAAAAAGAGTCTCATGGACTTTCCTGCTGGGGCTGGCTTTGAACGGTGATCCTAAGACTTCAGCCTCTTGAGTAGCTAGGATTACAAACGTGAGCCACCGGCACCCTGTCTAGTTTACCAGTTGTAGGAAGAGGAAACCGAGGCACAGAAGTGCAGTGACAGAGGTATGGGGGTGGTAGGATCAGGTCACCAGTATGCACCTTATTGCGGGGGATTTTCCTCGCACTGGCTGTGCCTGTGCTGGCCCAAGCTAGGTGCGAGGACCCTCAGATACTGGCCTGTGCTCTGGATGGTGTACATGAGAATGACAATCATACTGACCTGCTGCTCATGGCCAAACAACTGGGGTATCAGGGAGGCCTGTCCAAAAATCTGCAGGAAAGAGAGCGGGGGGGGTTAGGGAGGCCAGGGCTGGGGCAGGGACTGGGCTGGGCTGCTCAGGCTCATGTGCCAGGGAGCTGGGGTTTGGCTGGTCTGACCTCATCCTGGCTGCCCACCCCCCCCACCCCCCTCGCTGCTAGACCTCACTTGGCTTCCTTGGGATAGAGGTTATTTTGGGGGCTGGGCAGCAATGAGAACTTACAATCTACTGTTTAGAAGTCCCTTTCCTATGTAGCCCCTGGGACCATAAATGCCCCATCTGAGGCCTCTCACCCCGGCAGGCCGCTCACCTGCAAATTCAGATTTGGGACAGCCCCTGGAGCTGTTTCCCAGGCTTCGATGTAGCTGACTTTGCAGCTCAGGTCATTCAACCTTCTGGAAGTAGGCGCTGGGGGGTGGTTAGAGAACCCTAGAGTCTGGGAGTCAGGTGGGGTTGGGTAGGGAGGTAGGGATGATTCCTATGGGAGTACCCAGCCTGGCCAATTCCATGAACCCTTTTTGTGTTCCAGGTGCCTGGGTGAGGCAGGGATGGAGAACATAAGAGACATGGAAAAACAAGAAGGTTGGAATACACGTGTAAACCAAGAAAAATGCGAATGAAGACTCAAAGGGTCAGGGAGACAGGAGATAACTGGTAGAACTGGAGAGACAGGGAAGGGCACAGACAATCAGCAAACACCTACTGAGGGCAGGGTGTCTGGGCAGGGAACAAGACAAGGTACCTGCCTGCAGAAGATCCCAATCTCAGGGACAAGGATGGCTGGGGGATGGGGCTGGGGTTCTCAGAGCATCAGACACACTAGCTGTACAGAAATCTGGGTGCAGAGAGCATGGAACTGGGGAGGGGAGGGGAAGGGAGGGGATGAGGGGCAAGTGCAGTGAGCATGGGACTGGGGAGGGGAGGGGAAGGGAGGGGATGAGGGGCAAGTGCAGTGAGCATGGGACTGGGGAGGGGAGGGGAAGGGAGGGGAGGAGGGGCAAGTGCAGTGAGCATGGGACTGGGGAGGGGAGGGGAAGGGAGGGGATGAGGGGCAAGTGCAGTGAGCATGGGACTGGGGAGGGGAGGGGAAGGGAGGGGAGGAGGGGCAAGTGCAGTGAGCATGGGACTGGGGAGGGGAGGGGAAGGGAGGGGAGGAGGGGCAAGTGCAGTGAGCATGGGGTAGACAGACATGCTGCCTAGGTCTGTGAGGCCCAGAAAGGAGCCAGGTGCCTGCAGCAGGGCTCGGGGCAGGGCTCGGGTCCATCAGAGCCTCTCAGGTCCAAGTAAAAACTCTAGCTTCCCTCACAGTACGGGAGGAAGTTGGGTGCTGATGAGTCACGCCTGTAATCCTAGCTACTCAGGAGGCTAAGATCTAAGATCTGAGCATCGCAGTTCAAAGCCAGCTTGGGCAGGAAAGTCCATGAGACTCTTCTCCAATGAACCATCAAAAAGCTAGAAGTGAAGCTGTGGCTCAAGTGGTCGTGTGCCAGCCTTGAGAGAAAAAGTTAAGAAATAGTGCCTAGGCCCTGAGTTTAAGCTGCCTACCAGCATGCGTGCACACACACATGTGCATGCACATGCACACGCACATGCACACTCACACAGGTATGGAGAAGCTGGGCGAAAGGAGCAGCAGGTATAGAGGCTGGAGGCGGCACTTGCCGGGACCTGAGTAAGGGTGGCAAGTGCTCTGTCCCTCTTCATGTATGAGGTCAGATTCCTGGGTGTCTCCAGGGCTAGGGAAGGGTCTGATGAGCCATGGGGTCCTCAAGTTTCATTCATACCAGGAAAGCGTTCTGCCACTAAGCCATATACCAACCCTTCTGGGCTGTTGACAGTCCTGGCTTTGAGTCTATATCCGTTGTGTGCAGGGTTTATTTCTACAGGTAGGAGGCTGGGTCTGCCCCACTGCCTGCGGTACTGCTCCCCATGATCCCTCTCTGGGCCCCAGAGATTGTTTCCCAACCCGCATCATAGAGAATTTGCAAACTCTAAGGCACTGCCTCCACAACAGGACTGGGGGCCCACAGCTTGAGATCCCTGCTCAGCTTCTCCTCCTTCTTAGGTGTGAGACCTCTCTGAGCCTCAGTTCTCCCCACGTGGATATGGGGATAGAGACAATAAGGCCACCTCTGAGGGTGGCTGTGAAATCCCAGGGAGCTGAAGGCTTTTTGCACAGAACTGAAGGAACACGAGGTGTGCCTGTCACGATCCATGGTGGGGCTGGCCCTGCCAGACCTATTTTTCCCGAGTGGGTCCAGGGACCCAAAGCAGACACGTAAGTTCCCCAAGGTCACACAGCAAGACAGTGAGAAGCTTAAGGGTAGCTACCCTTGCTGAGCACAGTAAGTTCAAGAGGTTAATCTACCCACTCAGAACTCCGGTATAGGAAACACCACCCTCCTCCCGTGCTTCATCAGAAAACTGGGTACAGGGAAGGGAGGTGATTTGTGTCAGATTCGAAGCATCGTAGACAAGGCTGGGACTCAAAGCCAGATCTCCAGTTCTCTCACCCCTTGGCTCTGAACACAATGAGAAGTAACAAGGCCCAGAGCCTCCTTTGGCAGCCCAGGTCTTGGCAATGTGTATGTGTGGGTGCATTGTCCATTGGGGTCCTCCGCTTGGGAGGCCTTGTATGTCAGTCCCAATGACAATGCTCTTCAGCCCCAGGACAACGTTGAACAGACACACACACATATAGCTTCAGGAACAAAGACTAAACGGAAGCCCCACACAGGTATCCCAGGACCCTGGAGGAAGGCTGGGCCTAGATGTCTGTGTTCTCCCAAGTCCATTGGCCTTCAGGCCGCCCTGACCTGGCTGATGCAGCTGGAGTCATTGAGGCTGTCGCTGATGGGGTTGTAGTCCTCTTCCCAGCTCGGACACTTGGAAGGCAGCAGCATGTCCACTGAATCCAGGCGGTCCAGACTCCTGGAGTGGGGTAGAGAGCATACAGAGCTCAGTCCACCCACTGTTAAGTCTGGAAAACAGGCTCAGAGGGGAAAAGACTGGACAAGAGGTCATCCAGTGGTAAAGGGAAAAATGGAAGTTACTGCTGCAGCCTGGGCGGATGGGTAGCACTGACAAAGGGAGCGCTCTCAGCCTTCACCTCACTTGTCATGCCCGATGCAGACACGAGGTGGCAGCACAAGTGTGCTTTTGACTGTTTTAGGCCTGAGGCCAAGCGTACAGTCCCCATCCCACCCTTTCCTCCCTGCAAGCCTGGGGTCACTTCAGAGACTGGACAGAGAAGGTGGATAGAGGTTTACAGTGTTGACCTTTGGCTAGGAATTCTCTGAGGGATGCGATGTCCAGGTGACATCTACCAGGTCCCCAGTGTCCCCCCACTGAGTCTGTGAAGCCAGCTCTGCCCTCAATGCTTGTTCTGGAAATAAGGCCCCTAAGCATCTCTATAGATCACACTACAGAGGCTTGGATTGGAATCCAGCCCCCTGCAGCGGGGGAAGTCAGTCAACTTACCACCCTTGCTACAGACTTGGTATCCTCTTACACAGACAGTAACCCTGTCTGCCTGCCAGGACTGGCGTAAGCATTGAATGATACAGATTCAAGTGTACTGGGGTAGACAGTGGCCAGCCAGGCCAGTGCCAACAGACAGCAGCTATTCATTCTTACTATGGGTTCTTTCATTCCGGGCCTGTGTACCCTGGTCCTGTCACCTCTCACCTTAATGCTCACTGGTCATTGGTAAGACGGCAGGTTTTCAGGACCAGTCAACCAGATCAGTCTCCTCAGTTGGGAGGTGTGAGGCTCAGAGCTGGGGCAGGTTTGGGGGTGTTCCAAATTCCAACCTGAGGCCATACTTGGCCTTGCCCTGCACTTCCTGGCTGCCCCAAGTGTGCTGCTCTCTTCCTGCTCAGTGCCCCTGTCACCTGCCAATCCTGCTCCCTTCCTTTTTTTTTTTTGTCGGCCATGGGGCTTGAACTCTGGGCCTGGGTGCTGTCCCTGAGCTCTTCAGCTCAAGGCGAGCACTCTACCACTTGAGCTACAGCGCCACTTCCGGTTTTCTGGTGGTTTACTGGAGATAAGAGTCTCACGGTCTCTCCTGCCCGGGCTGGCTTTGAACCGCGATCCTCAGATCTCAGCCTCCTGAGTAGCTAGGATTACAGGCGTGAGCCACCAGCGCCTGGCTTATGCTCCCTTCCTTTTGTCCCCATCTTCCCTGGCCACCTCTTCTGTGAAGCTGAGTGGTTCACTTCTAAGGAGTTGAGGAACGTGGAGTAAGCTGGCTTCCTCTGACTGTTAGAGCCCAGGATGCAGCTGCCGCAGTGGAATTCCAGGCAGGGTGTTCTCTTTGCTTTCACCCCCCCCCCCCCAGGCCCCCCCCCCGTCCAGATCCCACCCTGGGGACCAGTTACAGGAGAAAGGGGAGCTGGGGGACACTTTACCTGGCCAGTGCTGGTTACAGTAGTGGGCTCGCTAAGGGCAGGGGCACCCACCGGAAGGAGCCCCCCCAGGGAGTTGCCCTGTGAGAGTGGAACTTACCTGGGGATGTGTCTCCTGAGACAGCTTACCTGAACCAGTCACCCAGGTGAGGTTCTCATTATGGGTGGGGTTAGCCAAAGGATGAGGCTCACCTGTGCTGGGGGTGGGACTCATGGATGGTTCATCGTGGGGCTTCTTCGGGCACAACTGGTTCATATGCAGGGCCAGACTAAGCATGAGGATCTCTGGGAAGGGCCAGCCTGAGGGAAGGTTCACCTAGGGGCACAGCTGACCAGTGAGCAGGGTTTGCAGGTGCTGAAAGCTCCGGGGCGGGGCTTCAGCAAGGGGCGGGGCAAAGACTGGTCCTGGAGGGTGGAACTTTCAGGCCTCACCTGTGGGCGTGAGGGGAGGGGAGGGGAGGTGCAGGGGGGAGGGGAGGGGAGGTGCGGGGGCGGCTCACCTGCGGGGGTTGCTCTGCTCCCCCAGGGACTGCTGCGTGGCCCTCAGGTAGCTCTGGCGCCTTGCTGCGGTCTTGGGCGAGGGCTTGGGGCTGCCACCACCAGACTCGTCGCTGTCCTCGTCGCCCATGGCCTTGATGTAGCTGCCGCTGCGCATGCGCCGACAGGGGATGGGGCCCTCGGCCGCGGAGTCCCCGTCCCGGGGGGACAGCAGCGTGGTGCTCCACTCGCCTCCGCCACCGGGCACCTGGGGACACCGGCCAGGACTCAGTGGGTGTGTGTGTGGGGGGCAGCCTGGACTTGTCACCTGGAAAATGGGTCCTGCAGGACCGTCCCTCCACTCGGAGTTGGGCCTTCAGTATTGGCATTAACCCCGCATCAGAGGGTCCTGGGTAGGGACAGGTACCTGGGTTCCAGAACCAGCTCTGTGGCAGCTTCCCTGCTGGCCTTAAGCAAATCCTTGCCCCTCTCAAACCTTTTGATTTCTCTGTGGAGACTGAGCTGCGTTAGCGCCCACAGGACTGCCGGAGGGTTTGGATCAGAATGGCCTCGCTGTGGCCCAGCTTCCTGAGCACCCACGGAGCCCTGAGCTTCACTGGTGGCCTCCCTGGCAATGCTGTACGACCCCACTGCACAGATGAGAGCCCCAGGCCCGAGGCCGGGTCAGTCGCCTGCCGAGAGAGAGGTGTCCAGACTGGGAACCAAGGCTGACCCTAGGACAGGGGTCAGAAGCCCCTGGGCACATCAGCCTGGGGTGGGGCGGGGTGGGGAGAGTCGGAGAGTCAATCGGGTATTTTTTTGGTCCCCCAAAGGGGAAACTGAGGTACAGAGGGATGGGACAGCCACAAATTCAGTAGAAAGGCTTAGTTCTCTCATGTGAGCCCCAGGGACCCCAGGCAAGTGAGGTCACTGCTGTGAGGTCACCGTTGGTCACCCTGGCCCCCAGGGGCTCCGGTGGTAGGAGCCAGCTGAGGGACCCCTCCTCATGTCTAGCTCTGCTGGTTTCTCTGAGACAGTGGGCACAGTTTTCCTCCATCACTCACTCACTGTTGGCACAGAGTAGCTGGCACTTTGGGAGGAAGTATGCTCACATCCAAGCCTTCACAAGCTTCAGGGCCGGGAGCTGGGTCCTCACTCTGGGCCCCACCACAGACGAGCGTGCCTTGCTGCATGCACAGATCTCTGCACGCACGCACACACGAAGCAGCAAGCCTTGCCATCCCCACCCCTGTGCAAGCGCCTCCGCACCACTCGCTTTTACCCAAGGACACCCGGGGTGACCCGCAGCTACCTCCAATATGTCCACGCTAGGCCCACAGAGCAGACTCCCTTAGCACCCCACACCTCCCACAGTCACGTCTGCACCCGCTGCACTCACACACACATCAACACACCAGAGCACGCCCTCCAGGACTGCATGCACAGGACTGCGTGGATGCTGGGACATGTTCCAGTGCACCCAGCACTCCCACTCCAGTGCATGCAGGGCCCACGGCCTCAGATGCCAGAGGCCACTTCCTCCGGCTGAGAACGTGCCCACAGTAACCCCCACAACTGACTGCGCATCCAGTCTCCAGTGGCCGCACTGTCCCTGGAGACTGGGACCTTATGTATTCTTGCTCAGATTCTAAGACCAACCCACCTAGCCCACAGGCAGCCCAGGTTCCAGGGCCTCTCCTGCTGTCTCGGAGGCATTTCTACCTGATCGAGACCCCCACAGTTCTGTGTTGAGAGGGAGAGGTCACACACACTCTCCCCGTTTCAGAGCACCTGGTGTTGAAACCAAAGAAGTGGAGAGGCACAGAAGCTCTCCATAGGTTTGAAAGGCTGCCGAGATGTCAACAGCGGATGTCGTTGGCCAAGAGCTAGCCAGGTCTGTGCCTGGATGAACCCTGGAGATGGCGCTTCGTACTACAGAAGCAGCCCCTTCCGTCGGCAGTGTGCTCCGTGTCATTCCACCCACTGGGCTCTGTGCCCCTGCTCAGCCTAACGGTGCAGTAGCAGTGATGTTTCCAAGCCTCCCGCTACCTGCAAACTCCATGGCGCTGGCGCATGGCGAGCGCTCATATGCATTAGTGCATTACAGAAGCTGTGGTGTGTGTGTGTGTGTGTGTGTGTGTGTGTGTGTGTGAGAGAGAGAGAGAGAGAGAGAGAGAGAGAGAGATGCTTCCAGGGGCATATTTTAGCTGCTTCTCAGGTTAGGCTCTGAAAGCCCTAATCAATGTCAGCTAAGGCTTAATCAGTGGAGGGTTTAAAAAAAAATTACTATTAGTAGTAGTAGTAGGCCCACCAGTGAGAGGCTCAGAACAAAGCCACTTCCCAAGTGGGTCTGTGGTACTGCTAGCTGTGCCTCAAAAAATACCACCCGTGTTCCCAGCCCTCAGTCCGCTGACCCTAGCAGACACCTACCTGCAGGTAATGGTAGGCCAGACCTTGGTGGCAGGACTTGGACTTTAGTAGGCTCTTGTCCAAGGTGGCTGAGGTCTTTTGGCAGACCTCATGGGCATGGCTGAGGGTCAGAGTGGACCAGGAGCCCCGCTTAACGTAGTTGGTGTCGGAGCCCATACCAAGGCTGGGGCAGGTGGCGGGAGGGGCAGGTGGGGGCGGTGGAGTGGTCAGCTCGGTGGTGGTGGTGGTCTTGGTGGTTTTGAGCATGTGCCCGCTGATGGTGTTGTAGGCGTGCATGAAGTAGCGGGGCTGGGTGCGTTCGGGCTGGCGGCCCAGGGTCATCAGGCCAGAGACCGGGCCGCCGCTGCGGAACGCGCCGCTCTCCCCGTCCAAGTTGTCGTCAGAGCTCCACCAGCCCGAGATGTTGGAGCGGCTGCGCCGTTTGGGCTCCCCGGCCTTGGCCCGCTCCTTGCTTTTGGCCCTCCGGCCCTTGCCGTCCTCCAGGCCGCCCTTCTTGTTGCCATTGGCCCCGATCTTGCCTGCCGTGCCCTCCATCGAGGGCACCTTGGTGAAGAAGAGCCGCTGGACGGAATGGACCAGGTGGCGGATGCGGCCGGGGCTCTCGCCGCGTTTGGCCTCACCCCGGGGGAACTGCAGGGTGCTGAAGCCATCTCGGTGGATGGGCAGCTGCTTCTCAAACTGGTCCAGGAGGTTGGCTGGCAGCCGGTTGATCTTGGTGGCCTGGGCATGGCTGGGGAAAGGGCTCTCCTCTGGCACCTCGAAGTGGGAGCTGTAGTGGATGCGGGGGAAGGTGCTGCTGGGAGGCGGCAGCTGGTTGTTGAGCGGGAAGAGCCCATCTCCCGGCAGGGTGCTCTGCCCAGGGAAGCGGGCCTCCCGGGCGAAGGCCTCTGTGGGCGACAGCAGGTAGGGGTTGCGGTCAGACCCTGCAAACAAGGGCTCGTGTGGCGGGTCCAGGCTGTCAGACAGGTGGCGGGGGCGGCTGTCTCCGAGGCCTTTCATGATCCCGGCCCGTGAGGCGGGGGGTGCGGGGAGGGCGTTGCCCTAACAGGGCGCCCAGGTCTCCTCTCCTGGGCAGCAGCTGTCCTGGAGAGAGAAGACAAGAGAGGAGTGAGCTGGCGCCAGGGCTGCAGGGGGCTGGGCGCTGGCACGGTCAGGCCTCGGGGCTGAGAGGAAAGCTGGAGTGTGGAGGCGGCCATCGCCATCACGGGGTGGGGACAAGAGCAGACCCGGGAGCCGCGCCTCTCGTTGGATGCAGAAGCTGCCGCTGGAGGCAGCCAGCTGTTAGACAGTTCCTGGCTGGAGGGACAGATGTTCAGAGGCCCCTGCAGAGCCTGGTGGGACACGGGGGAGACGGTGGGACATGGGGGTGGGGAGCTACCTGTCCCCATCCTCCTCCCATCTTGTTCTCGCGAGGAGCTGCACGCGCGAGGACGCTGCGCTCACCTCCCAGCTCTGTCCGCACCCCTCAGGCCAGGCCAGCCCGGGAGGACTGTGCTCAGGACGGGGACTGTCTGGGCAGGGGACCCCTGGGACTCCCAGGATCCCGGCTGAGGACTCCTGGCAGTCCTAGGCTTTGGCCCCTCAAGCACCTCTTGCCTATGCGCCACATAGGCCATGCACAGAGCAGAAGCAGGCAGGACCCAGCTTACCTGCGGCCGAGGGCAGTGCTGTCCGGCTCTTTTAGTTTAGCAGAGGATTCCTCGTGTAACCCTCAGTAAATACCCATTCTGCCCCTCACTAAATGCTGAGGGAGCAGCGACCTCTGGGCTGTGTGATGAGGCCAGCAAGCTTACCCGCCCATGGTTCCCAATTGGGATGAAGTAGTGATGGCTGGAACACTGGTTCTCAGAATGGAGAAGAGAGGCGCATCCTGGGGACTCAGGGACAGGCAAGACTTCACTAAGAGATGAGAACTTGGCCACATCTGTTCCTGCCTGGCTGACATTGCTGGCCTCCTTTCCCCCCAGCATCCCTAACCTGTCAGTCTGTGTTTCCATAACCAGGCTGAGGGCAGGGCTAGCTCCTGCTTCTTCCCATCAGGAGTGGAAGAATGAGAGGCAGTAGGTGACCAGGGCCCAAGTCTGCCAAGAGCTCTGGCTGCCCATGTTCACGGTCAAGCTCTGGGTGGGCATAATGGCTTTCAGCCGGAGGTTGAGCCTGCGTCCAATGACAGGTCCGCGCGTGGGCACCAAGCATGGCTTCCCTGCCCCAGTGCGAGCACCCAGGCTCGGCTGCGTTCTGAGCTCCCTCGGGGACTGGCTGAGGCATCTGTTGTAAGGGTCCTGAGATTCAACCCCGCCCTCACCTCTCAGCTGCTCCTAGAGACTTCCCAGGAAAGTTCTGTACGCTCCTCTGAGCCCTGAATATGTTTCCCAGGCCTCTTTTCCTGGGGTGCTGTTGTTTTGGAAAATTAACCCCTCACTGCAGAGCTCCGGCCAGCCAACTCATGGCCCCCAGCCTCCAGGTCCTGTCCCGTGACAGTGGACGAAGCTCTCACTCCTTGGGATTAGGGTGAGGGTTGATGTGACATTGTACAAAACCTCAGGGCCCAGCTGCTACACGGCTGTCCCGCCCGCTGGCGACAGGCATGGGCTTCCAGGCTAGGATGTTCTGGTGGAAATCACTTGCCTGCTGCTAGACCTGGATTCAAATCCTAGCTCTGCTGTCTCCTTATAGTGACCTCTGGTTGGTCCCTCTCTGAGCCTCAGTGTCTCCCTCTAAGCAGCAGAGGGTTGGAGTGGGCAGGAATGGGCAGGGCATGTGCGTGGTCATGGTGACCCCCTTGGCTTGCGTGGATGCCGGTCCCTCAGCCACTCAGCTGCAGGGCTTCATCTTGGGAGCAAATAGGTGGCACTGAGCTTGTGTGTGTGTGTGTGTGTGTGTGTGTGTGTGTGTGTGTGTGTGTGTGTGTGTGTGTGTGTGTGTGTGTGTGTGTGTGTGTGTGTGTGTAAGGGGGTGGGGGGGGCAGCTGTACTGCCTGGTGCTGCCTTTGTCAATGAGCTATACTTAGGCTCATCGGACGTCCTAATTAGCTCTCATTAATGTGAGCCTTGCTGCCTCACGGGATGGGAAAAAGCACAGAGCTTCTGCCTCCAGCGCCCCTTGAGCTCCATGGTGCCTCTCTACCTGCAGCCACCACGGCTACCTGCCTCCCGGGGCCTCCCTGACTGCCCACCTCATCCTGAGCCCCAAGGGGCCTGGGGGGTAATTAGGGAACTAGGCCAGAAGAGGTCTTCCAGAAGCAGAACTCAACCATCATTACCTGAATCCGGAACCTGCTAGGGCTTCCTCTTCCCGTCTCAGTCCAACCTCCTGGGTATGGCACCAACACCCACACTGAAGCTAACCCCAAACCTCCACAGGCTACTCCTCAGCCTCCCAGGTCCCAACGCACGTCCTCTGTATTTGCTGTTCCTAGAAAGGCTGGTTCTACCTAAGGTTGCATCAACAGAGGTAGAGAGTTGACATGAAGGGAGGGGATCTCTTGCTCTAGGCTGAGTCCCGCCAGTAATGGAGGGACGGGCCTGCGCAGTGAGCCGAGTGATAAAGGGCAGGAAATGAAGTGGGCTGGAAGGGAAGAACATTCTGGAGATATTCACGGCAGTCCATGGAGGATACATCATCATTGCCTTGGAGCTCTGCAGGAAGGGATGAGGGGTGGAGGGGAAGGATGGGCCCCCAGGGCCTCTGTGCTGCCTAGGGCAGGGTGAAGGTAAACTGAGGCAAACCTTTGTCTTTGGGTGCCCCTCCCTTCCTCATCTCTTGCCCGGGCTGCTCCTCCTCTGCCCTGGGCACTCAAAGAATTGGGGTGCTCTCCTTCCCTCCCTCTGCTTCTCCCCACACCGTCTCCCCTGCTGATCTCATCCCAACGCAGGGCTTTAAACACCACCTAGATCTGACAACTCCTAAATTTATATCTTCCGCCCAGTCTCGTTCCGGAGCCTCAGACTCCTCGGCATCTCGCCCTAGATGTCTGACAAGTCCAAAATGAACACGTGACACCTCCCCGCCCCCCACCTGCTCACCTGCTCCCCCCACCGTCTGCATAGCGTGGCTGCCGACACGGGCATCACCCGCGCTAGCTCAGGTCAGATCAGAAGCCGGGTGCTGCGCTCCCCTCCTCTTTCTCTCTCGCCAATGTGATGACAGCCAGCACTTCCCCACAGCCTGCCTTCGACGTGTCCTGTGTCCTGGGCTTCGGCTGCCAGGCCCTCCCTGCCCTGCCCCCTGCCCTTCCCGCCTGTTCCTGCCCCTCCTCTCTCGTGTCACCCCCCAGGCGTAAAGCGGGTCTGGTCACAGCCACCCTTTACCAGGCACCTGGCCTCTCCCAGCCCTGTGTCCACCCCCGGCAGGACCGGCTCCTGGAACCCACAGGCAATGGTGGCAGTGGTCCAGTGTGGCTTCTGGGGCTAGATCTTGAAGTCATTGTCTCTGGGAGGCCAGTCTGTGCGGAGGAACGAGGCCTCCAGCACTGTGTCCCCCCCCCCCCCCAGCCACCCGCATGGCAGCCAGGGCTGCCGTCCCCGGCTTTCTGAGGGACCGGGGACAGAGCCACAAAGCTAGGCTGCTCCTGGGTTCCCGCCCCATGCTAACTTCGGGGGAACGTGGCGTGTTGGAAGACGCCAGCAAGAGGTTGGTGCGGGGGGCTGGCGCGCCCCGCAGAGGTCCCAGGCTCTCGTTCATGGCGCCTAGCTCCGCGATCCTGACACATTCAAGGTCCGGCTTTGTTTGAGGCCTAAGTTGGGTGTCCATAGCAACTGTCTCAAAGCGTGACAGGCTGCCCCCCCCCCCCCCCCCGTGTGACAGGCAGTCTGAGGGCACCGCGCAGGCGGCGGCTGCTGGGGACGTGAGAGTGGCTCCTGCTTTCCGCCATGGTCCCGCGTGGGCGTGGGGATGGCCAGGCCAGCAGCGCTCCTGGGCCCCTCCTGAAACCAACGGTGTACCCCAGGGCCCAGGAGGAGGATGCTGAGCCCAGTGGGGACAGGGCCTGGGTGCGATCACATCCCACGGGACTTTGGGGGGCCTCCGGTGAGGCACCGGAGGCACAGGGGACCCTCACGCAGCACTCATCTTTGGGCAGGAACTACAGAACTCCCCTACCCTGCTCTCTGGCCTGTGTCTCAGTGCCTGGGTCTACATGGGCTGGATTGGTGTTTCTGCTCCTTCTCGAAATTATTCCATCATAGCCTCTTTACCCTGGAGACTGGCAGTCTAACGGGGGGGGGGGGGGGGGGGGTGGCTACACAGAGGCACTGCTCAGTTCTGCCTTACCTCCAGCTCCTGCCATCTTCTTACAGAAGACCTCCTTTACTAGCAGAGCCCCAGCAAGCTCTTGTGGAGTGCCCACTGGGTGCCAGGCACTGTGCCAAGAGTCGGTCTATATTAGCTCATTTATCTCTCCCAACAACTCTTTGAGGACACTGGGGCTCAGAGAGGTTAAGGACCCAGCTCAAGGTCACACCGCAAATAAATGTCAGCACCATAGTTGAAATTCCAGGAGAATGGCTCCAGAGCCCATGCTCCTGACCACCTCCTACAGGGGCAGCACTGAACCAATCCTCTCTGTGCCAGCCGGGGCAGGACACTGGGGTCTGGATGAGGCCCTCATGTAGAGGGGACAGAACCTATTGTCATCCAACTCAGGCTTTTCCTAGGTAAAGGTGGAGTAGCCTCAATTCCCCTAGTTGAAGGAATCCAGGGATGTAGTTCTCCATTTGCCATGCAATGGAATATTACTCTGCCATAAAAAGAAGTACCAGCTGGATGTCAGTGGCTCACGCCTGTAATCCTAGCTACACAGGAGGCTGAGATCTGAGGATCACAGCTCAAAGCCAGCCCAGGCAGGAAAGGCCATGAAACTCTTATCTCCAATTAACTATCAGAAAACTGATGGTTTGAGCTGTGGCTCAAACTGGTAGAGCCATCAGCACAAAAGCTGGGACAGTGCCTGGGCTCTGAGTTCAAGCCTCATGACTGATAAGAAGAAGAATGCCATCCTG